AAAATCCGACAACGTTATCATATAGCTACAGGCCCGTCGAGAGCGAATTTCGAGCCCGGGGGGTACAAATCACGGGCCCCCATATAATAAGAAATATTTTCAAAAATAACGAAAGTTTCAAATATATTTTATTTTTACTACTACTCGAATAATAAAGATCAATATAAAACTTCGAGTGTAATGTGAAATTTTATTTTCTGACAAAAATAAAGTGTTGCGAAATGGACACAATATTCGAGAATGGGGTGAACACAAAAGGCAAGGACTCGTAACATGACGGTTATAAAAAAAGGACTAGTTTTTAAGTTATCGTCGCTATCACGGTTAGTTTTTATCCACTTAAATTCGCTTTTCGCGCTTTTGCAGAGGCAAAGGAATCGATTATTACGCTGAAATCCAACTGCCTTGCTAACTAACAAACATAAAATCGCCAGACCAGTTAGACGCTCTTGTGTAGAACAAGATCTGTGAAAGTTTTTAACTCGCGATAAAACACTGAAGGAGCGTTCTCCACTAGCGACACTGACAGGGAGAGTACAAAAAATTCTAAAAGCAACACAGACATTTGGAAAAAGATTCTGAAGATTTTTTGAGTACAGAGCGTTCAGCAATGCAAATGGAGGAAGGCTTTTTTCAAAATTATCTACATATATATGTTTGAGGTGAACGATTTCATCTTTCAACTCTTCGGAAACATCAGCTACGTACTTCTTCGTCTGAAGAGTATCTTTTTGTCATTCCTGCAATGACCGAATCGATGATGGTGAAGAAATGGCTGGTCTTGAATTTTTCTTCTTCAGAAGTGATGTCGGTTTCTGGACTTGCGTCATCATCATTCAAAAATACTTTCGCACGTTTTCTTTTTCAAATTGTTGGTAAAGTTTCAGGAATGTTCCACCCTCTTGCAACAAGTTTACATTCACTCAGAATGAGATCCCATCGATTTCGTATGAACTGCCAATCTGAAAGGAGACCCTTCAGATTGTCAACTTCAACGTCTATAGTAGCTCCTCTTGCTTGAAGGACGACGTTTCTCTCATTAACAGCACCCAAAATTTTGAACCAAATCGACGACATCAAGATACATTCGAACGAATTCATGTATTTTTGAATACCGTTGATGTCCCGGAGAGTCTCTGCAGTAAAATTGAGTTCCTTCACTTCGTCAAGTGCTTCTTGTATTCCAGAAAGGTGTTTCGCGAACGGTTTAACGGCGTCAAGTCTTGCAGACCATCGCGTATCGGACAAACTGTGAAGGGAAGAGGGAATTTTCTTTTGAAGGAGTTGCCATCGTTGAGGGCTTGTACTGAATATGTTATAACATTTCTGAACGATTATGATTATGTTTTGCTGAACGCAACCAATGTAACGATCATAAACAAAAAATCAGAAAAAATCATTTAAACAAAATAAAAAGCCAGAATTCCCGCTGCCCGTTGTTTGTAGAAGCGATTCTGGCAACAGTGATCATTTCTAAGGCTCCACATCTTAGTGATTTCTTTAAAATATCGCAGAGCACTTTTTTGTACACAGTTTATTTGAGTTTTCGCCAAAAATCCGGGCCCCTCTCCGAAGTCCGGGCCCGGGGGACTATAATGCAAAACACCACTACTGGGGCTCTCGTCTTATTAACCCCAAAGGACGCCCACTATACAATGCTATTATCAAACCTAGTAATTAGCTAGATTTTATTTCACCGGGTAGGCCTACACACTGGCCAGCAGATCCGAATAAACAACCAGACATTATCGATTTTGCCGTAACTAGGAGAGTGCCGCCCAGGCTGATACGCGTTAAAACACTGGAGGAACTGTCATCTGATCATTCGCCAGTTCTTCTCTGTCTGAACACCCACAGCTTGTAAAGCGACCACCATTTCTGACTTCCAATACAACAAACTGGCTAAAGTATAAAAAATATATCAGCTCGCACATTGAAATCGAACCCAATATCTCGTGTGAAGCCGACATTGAAAACTCACTTAAACACATAGAAGATGTAATGTCCCCAGCTGCCAAACACTCTACACCTGTCCTTTAGCTACATCCCTCCCAAATACTATGCGCTCAAACATGCAGATCCAATCGCTCCTTCAAGAAAAGCGTAGACTTCGCCGAAACTGGCAGACACACCGATCCCCAGTCACTAAACAAAGCTTTAAAGAAGCCTGTCGGAAGCTATCTAAAGCTTTAATAACTGAGAAGAATCAGGCTCAACGTGCCTATTTAACACAGCTTTCACCCACAAGCAACAAATGTCCACTCTGGGGAGCGCACCCTAACATTCAACCACCTATAGAACCCGATTTTCCAATTCGATCACCAACAGGTTTTTGGGCGCGTAGTGACGAGGAAAAGGCCAACATCTTCGCCTCTCACTTACAAAACGTCTTCCAACCTCATCCTCAAACTTCGATAAGAAACGTCGTTCACCGTATCATAGTAAGTTGGGCGATCTTGTGGCCATCAAAAGGACTCAATTTGTGGCAGGCAGGAAATTAGCTAGCGAATTCCTGGGGCAATACAAAATCATCAGGATCAAGCGAAGCGGCCGGTACGATGTAGAGAAAGATTCCGGTGAGATCGAGGGACCAAGGATCACTGCGACAAGCTGTGACAACATGAAGCTGTGGAAGTACATTGCCGTAAACTGTTGTCATCCAGGTCGGATGACGGTGGTCAGGAGGGCCGAATGTAAAGTGGCAAGGACTTGGCAGGACTGGTGGCTGGTGCTTGCAGAACTGTTCGAGAAGAGAGCGATATTGGAGAGCTAGAAAAAGAGTCGTTCGTCGTGTGTCGTAAGCAGCAGTCGTCTTGAAGTGGTCAGCAGTCGTCGAAACAGTTAGCAGCCGAATTATTGTTTGATACATACTTTGTTATTTTTTATGTTATTTTGAGAATACGAATGAATCGATCTCCCCTCAGTTTTACTTATAATTTAACGTTCGAATAAATAATCATAAGCACTATAAACTATTCTCACATACATTGCTCAACTATCTTCATTTGATATTCTAGAAGAGATTTGTGATAGTTTTTTTCGTATATTTGTTGTTATAAAAGTGTTCTATCGTCCTTCTGTCGTCCAAAAAAAAACTTCTAGGCGTTAGGGAATCTTCCGAATGCTTGCATAGATATCTGCTTCATGCTTGCAGGCTTGTCGAAGCTGTAACACCAATATTGATGGCTTGTGTGGAATTAGAAGTTGGAGCAGCAGGGGAACAAGAGTTTGTCAGGACAACAGTGGCGTAGCGTGCCTTGTCGGGGCCCCGTATAAAAATTTTTCTGGAGGCCCTTATATGGAGATAAAGATTTTTCTCAAAAGAAAAAAAATATTGTGAGAAGAAATATTTATTTATCACATAATTTACCCATTTTACAAATAAAAATCGAATTTTAAATATTCACTCTCCTTGCCTTTTTTTCGGCAAACTGATTTATTAAATTATTTATGGCTGATGATGATTTTAGTTTTTCTAAAGTTTCTCCCTCTATTGACAATAGTGAGATGTCTGACAGCCGTTCTTGTCCCATCGAAGTTCTTAAGTAATTTTTTATTAGTTTTAAATTTGAAAAACTTCTTTCTGCCGTTGCGGTTGTAACTGAAAGGGTCAAGAATAAAAAGCATGCTGTGATTACCTCGGGAAAACTGGATGCAAGACTTGAATTTTACTAGCAATAATTCAATTTTTAATTTCAGAATTTAAGCATGTTTTTAGAGCTTTTAATTGGTCACAAAGATTAAGTGAGATGTCTTTACTGTATTTAGCAGGCATTTTTCCGGAAGCGTTTAATATCTCTTCGCTTGAAGAAGATAGGAGTTTCTCCGGTTGTAATATTTCGAATATACTACTCAGGTTGCAAAGGCTCTGAAATCTTTCTTTAGTTTGAGAAATTAATATATCTAAACAGCAATAGTATAAATTGACTTTGAAATAGGATTGCGGGTCGGAAATTCTCTCATCTTGTGATAACTCATCAAAAAAACGCTTCGTTATCTTTCCCCTACTGTTTTTAAAAACATTTGTTACCTCCACTCTTTTGCTAAATCTTTGGATTCATTTAGCAAACTATTAAATTAATTCTGATTTCTTAATTGGCCTCGTTCAACGCACAATAAACATAATCGGCATTTGGAGCATGCGCTTTTATTAGGGTTTGTAATCCTACATTTAGTCAAACCAATTCCATATTCTTTAGTCAAATTTAAAATGACAGTTTTCACAACTGAAGCACTGCAATCGGTTACTGCTATAAATTTTAAAAAGGACTCACAGATTTTTATTTCTTTAGGTACATTATCATCATTTTCTGTAACCGAGATATGTATATCGAAAAACTACAGATAGTTGGTCAACTTTTGACAAGTCTTTTGTTGTATCCAGAATTATTTTGTCATTTGTAAAATAAAATAAATTATAAAGTTTTTATTCTTTTTCCTTACACACTTTGGGGGCCCCCGTGGCCCGGGGCACCGTATAATTGATACGGCAAATACGGCGGTAGCTACGCCCCTGCAGGACAAAAAAGGAGCGGCTTAGCGTCAAAGTATTTGGGCAGCAGCGGAGCTTGGGGACGCTCTGGGCATCTTCAGAAAGCAGTGGTGCAGAGCTACCCAGGAAGCAGAAGCAGGTTAGGCGCATATGATGATCAGCCAGGGCACCAAGCAGCACAACGTAAGTCAGAAATTTAATCTTGTAACTCAGGTAGAGAAAAATGTTGTTTAGAAAGACAGAGCTGGTCCAACAAAGTTAAAGGCATCCTTTCCTTCGATTAACAAACCCTTTACAAAGAAAAGAACTCAACAAATGGCAGGCCAAAGATATTTAGGCTATGACGCCCCCACCCATACTTAGACGCCCCACGAACTTGACGACTGACGGTACGATCATCCCATCTTCCCTACAGCGAGGACTCATACAAACTTCCCAGCGACTTGCTCACATTTAAAAAATCCCAAATTTACTTATATCTAAAATTGCAAGCCAGCATAAAAGTTGATATTTTTCTATGAGTATATATTAAAAGTTCACTGATGGTGGAACAAATGCAATACAATTTTTAAATTTAGAGTTTTAAATTTTTAAATTTAGTGCTATTGGTTAACAACATTTACCGAATATTAGCTTTAAGTGTAAAGTAACATCTGTACTTCACTCGTCTTCTTCTGATCTAGCAAGTTTCTCAGCAATATTCATTTGCTTAACGAGAGTAAACACTGAGAACGAGAACTTGGTGACCTGCAAGCATACCAATTAAAGCCTACCTTTGTATATCCCCGAAGGTGAACAAGTACTTACACTAATGTTGGTGCCAACTGATATTGGAAACACGTTCATGGCCATGAAGGTTATCGGCTGCTGTAGTTTCTGCAGGAAGTACATTACTGTCTTTTGATAACGCTTTTCCCCATATATCCAGTTTGACTGAAATAGGGCATCTGCCAGTTGGTAGCAATCGTCTGTGAGATAGTTGCATAGTATACAGAAGGGCGTTGTCTCCAGAAGCACGGCGGCCATAAAGGAAAGCGCAGCGATAGCCGAAGCCAAATTCGCAAAAAGAACAATGTTAATTAAGGTGAAGCCAAGCACCAAGCCGACCACCAGGAACTGCACGAAGATAGTACCAGATATCACGGGGCGCAGGCAGTCGACAAATCTGAAAAAACAAACAGATAAATTAATAAAAAATGCTGTTTCATGTTAAAAAATATTTCTAATTATTTTAATTCTACTCATGAAACCGTGGATATAGAATTAATAGAAATAAATTTATAACGTCGTTGTTTTTCATACCACGCGCATGATTTTTAGAATATCGAGATTTTTTAAAACCTTGAATTGAGAAAAAATGTTCATAAAAATCGAAATACTATTTCATAAAGGTGCCACAGAGAGGAACGAAAAATCTATTTAATTAATCTATGCTGATTTTTGTATTAATTTTCCATATTTTAATGGGAAGTGACATAATTGATGTCTGCAAGTGTATATAAGTTTCGGCTTGCCGAAGCTAGCTTCCTTTCTTGTATTGATATTATTTTACTAATATGTCCTCCTCTTACTAAAATTAAAGACGCAGTTTCTAAGTACGTATGAATACGAAGCAAAATAAGAAGTCTTTAAGAACGGCTATTGAAATTGTAACTCAGATAACCTGTTAAAAATCCATACTAAGAAGATTATTTCCTTTTTAAAGTTTAGTCCTTACAAAATAAGTTTGGCAAAGTTTTAGCTAGATAACTTTACAACTGAGAGACTAGTTTGCACAGAAACAGAAAGACGGTCATACGGACAGATGTTCGTTTGACATTATAATACCACATCAATATATCCTCCCAAGGTGTTTATTTAAATATTGGAATACTGTTTTAATAAGCTGCCGAACAAAAATGTTTAAATTAATATTAAACAAGAAAGAAAGCTAGCTTCGGCAAGCCGAAGCTTATATACCCTTGCAGCCATCAAATATTTTGAATATCGAAGCTATGACGACTTTTCTATTAATTTTCCATATTTTTTACTATTGTTCATATGGCAGCTATATGATATAGTCGTCCGATTTTGATGAAATTTTATTTGTTTGTCAAGAGTCAATAGAAAACTCTATATTCCAAAAATCATGATTCTGATGAGAAATAACGATGTTATCATTATATTTCCGTTAATTCTATATAGATTTTTGGATCTTTCCTATGGCAGCTATATGATATAGTTGTCCGATTTTTATTAAAATAGTTAAAAAACTTGATACTCAAAAAATCATAGTCGTGTGATGAAAATCAATTAATTTCCATTAATTCTATATATATTTTTTGATCTCTCCTATGGCAGCTATGGCAGCATCCGATTTTGATCAAATTTAAACCGAAATTCAATAGTAGTTATAAAACGCCATCTGGAAGAAATCAAGTTGATCTGATCAAAAACAACGGAGTGAGATTTTTTTCAATCTCTGGTATGGGAGCTATACGATATAGTCGGCCGATCCGGCTTGTTCCGACCTATATACTGCGTGCAATAACTACACAACTTTTGGGAAAGTTTCAGAAAGATAGCTTCAAAACTGAGAGACTAGTATACATAGAAACAGACAGACGGACAGACGTACAGACGGATTTCGATTCAGATCGTGATGCTGATCAAGAATATATATACTTTATAGGGTCTGAGGTGCCTCCTTCACTGCGTTGCAAACTTCTGACTGAAATTATAACACCCTTTGCTCTGCAAGGGTATAATTATTTCCTGCGTCCGCCCCTGAAAATAAGTGAAATTGTCTGTAGGAGTCTAGCGATTACTCACTGCAAAATGACTTTATGGTCCTGAATGCACTCAACCAGACGCTCGTAGCGCTCCTCCTGGCTCTCCGCAGGATCTGTGCCTAGACGCCGAAGCCGATCCGCAAAGATAGACATGTGGGCTCGTAGCACTAGGATAAAGTTCACTGGGTAGCAGTCCACACAAACGTCCTGGAAGCAAGCGCCAGCCATGGCGAAGTACTCTAGGAATGCCTGCAAGGCCAGATGAGACGTGCTGGAGCGCCAGTCCAGGTACGGGTAGTAGTTTTGGTAGGGCGGTCTTCCAATCCAGATCGCCGAGAGAAAAGTACTCGTGGCATAAACCATGTAGACGGCCATGAAGAAGAAAAATATGCGGTTGCTGAGTGAGACAGCGCGGTGCACCTGCAGACGCTCTCCAGGCTCTGTGATTCGTTTGTCCATCTCGTCTAGGATGGCATTGGCCTGGTCAAAGTGCCTGACCAGCGCCCACACTATCAGCACCTTGGTGGAGCAGGACCAGGCGTTGAAGGCAACCTGCAGCGAGGTGAGGAACTCACCCGGTGAGAACTCCGAAAGATGCCTGATAAGGCCCGTGACAAAGCCAATGGGCTGGTAAAACGTGGAGCAGAAATTCAGAGCGAAGGACCAGGCGACATACGCCAAGAACAAATTGACGGGTGGCTTTCGCACGCCCATCAGGAAGATGCAGCGCAGCAGGTACAGGGTCGCATCACGAGAGCGAGGCGGGCAGTCCTCCGGTTTGGTGAACAAAGCTGGAAAGATCCTTCGCAGCTCCATCGCGAATGCACTTGGAAGTGAATTATTGAACTTATGCGTCTGCGGTAGAGCCCTTTTATATGGTCGCCAATGGCGTGATTATAAGCCCATCAACCGACGGCTTAGGTAATTCATGAGTTACACGCTAAAATTCCTTAGTTAAAATCAATTACGCCGCTTTTAAACCATATCAAAGTCCGTCGTTAAGTCTCCTGCAGTACCCTGCGCTTCATTACGATGACACAATGGAGCGGGCTCGTATACCTCAAATGCCCTATCCAAAATTTAATACCGATAGGTAGCTAATGTTTGACAGAAGTGTAAAAGTTTACACTTGCTCATAAATAAGTTATGATTCCCCCTCCACCCAGGCAGACCCCACAGGCTGCGATTGTTCACAAGGAAAGGATTCAATTTTAGTCTGCTTTAGATTGCAGTAGTGTGCTATTAACATCATCAGTAATCAGGCCCAAGGAGTCTTGGCTTCCATAAGCAATTAAAACAAATATAACAACAAAAGTTAAAATAATATAAGTCCACTTAAAAGAAGGCAACTCGTTCCTCGAAACTTAAAGTTGTAATATTTATCCGTAAAAATTAAAACATTTAAAACAAAGTGTTCCTACTTTATGAGTTTAATATCTATTTGTCTGCTTTAATTAAAAAATCTCATATTAAATTAATTATATGTGGCACGACAAAAACCCTATATACATTTTTTGTTTTCTTTTTATACCCTTGCAGAGCAAAGGGTATTATAATTTCAGTCAGAAGTTTGCAACGCAGTGAAGGAGACACCTCAGACCCCATAAAGTATATACATACATTCTTGATCAGCATCACGAGTAGAATTAGAATACGTCTGTACGTCTGTCCGTCTGTCCGTCTGTCCGTCTGTCTGTTTCTATGTAAACTAGTCTCTCAGTTTTTAAGCTATTTTGCTGAAACTTTCCCAAAAGTTGTATAGTTATTGCACGCAGTATATAAGTCGGAACGAGCCGGATTGGCCGACTATATCGGATAGCTCCAATACGAGAAATTGAAATAAAAAATTCTCAGGCCGTTGTTTTTGATCAGATCGACTTGAATTCTTCCAGATGGCATTTTCTAACTACTATTGAATTTCGGATTAAATTTTATCAAAATCGGATAACTCTATCGTATAGCTGCAATAGGAGAGATCAAAAAATATATATAGAGTTAATGGAAATAAATTGATAACATCGTTGTTTGTTATCCCATGAGCATGATTTTTTGAATATCAAGTTTTTTAACAACTCTTATATTGAGAAAAAAGTTTCATAAAATCGGACAACTATATCTTATAGCTGTCATAGGAAAGATCGAAAAATCTATATAGAAATACGGAAGTAAAATTATAACATCGTGGTTTTTCATCAGACATTTATGATTTTTGAAATATAGAGTTTTCTTACGACTCTTAAATTACGAATTAAATTTGATCAAAATCAGACAACTATATCATATAGCTCCCATATGATCTATAGTCGGAAATATGGAAAATGAATAGAAAAATCGTTATAGCTTCGATGTTGTTTGGCCTTGATGCATTTTGTTCGCCGTATTTGATGACTGCAAGGGTATATAAGCTTCGGCTTGCCGAAGCTAGCTTCCTTTCTTTTTTTACAAAAATTTCTATCGTCTTTCTATCTTCCAGAAGCGTCTAAGAAGTGACTTCTAGGCGATAGATGTGTATTTTGTTTTTGTAAAATGTGTTCTATCGTCTTTCCATCTTCCAGAAGTGACTAAGAAGTGTCTTCTAGGCGATAGGGGATAAATTTATCTTCCAAATGCTTGCAGGGTTATTAGAGCTTTAGATGGCAAATCTGTGGCATAACGCCATTTGCAGTACACGCAGATGTATGCAGTGTAGTTGAGTTAAATTTAGAAATAAACTTTATGAATAATATTTTGTGAAAAATTTTAAAGTCGTCCTGTACTAGGCAGTTACTCGAAGTAAGTAATATTTATGTTATCTTTTTGTTTATTTACAATTTTTAGGCTTATTTCTTTGAAGGTTAGGTGGTTTTAATATTTACAAATAACATGTTACATTTCAACTTGACACTCGTCATGGGAAATTTAGAAAGCTGCACAAATTTTTGTGACCGTCACCTTTGTGTGTAAAGGCGTGTCGTGGATTACGGAAAATTAATGAAAAATTACATTTTTCGCAATTCAGATCTTTGGGGGCCCCTTCGATGCCTCAAAAGAACAAGATTACGAATGATTTTTGGAAATGAAATAAGATCTGATGTGAACGAAATTATTGTACTATTGTATGAGACTAATAATAATAATAATAATAAAAATTTCGTTTTCTCTAAAGTAAGAGGGGGGGCGGCCTCCCGTCACAGAACACAAGTTTGTTTGACGTAGTTACGCCACTGGATCTGGGACTATTTTTTATAAAAGTACCCAGCTCCTTGCGTATGCCGATGATATTGACATCATTGGCCGCAGCAAGCGTGATGTCACTGCTGCATTTTCGGCTATCGAAAAAGAGTCGGCAAAAGTGGGTGTTGGTGAATAGATCACGCTGATGGTTTGTAAGACCAGACAATGGTGGTGAATAGATCACGCTAAATGGTTTGTAAGACCATTTTCAAATTGGTTGATAGAATAATACTCAATTATTTTACAATAAGAATTTACGCTTTATTTCATGTTGACAGCTCGTGCTCAGGAGGAAGAGAGAGAGAGATTATAGACAGACCAAACCATCTCAAGAAAGAATATCTTACATGCTATAAAATATACCAGATTATTGTAATTAGTAGTGAGGTTCCTCAACAGTGGGTTTGGCGCTAAACGAGGGCAAGACGAAGTATATGTTGTCTACAAGCAGGGAGGCGCGGCGCCTAGACTCCCATGTGGTAGCGGATAGCTATACCTTCAAAGTGATCAAGGAGTTCAAAAAAACACATTTCGTTTCCATATTTTACTTTATTTTTTTGAGCTGTATTTACCGTGCACCGCACTTGTAAACAATTACCAGCAAATGTGCAACAGAGACCTCTCTCGACGAGCAAAATTGTCACTCTACAAGACACTCATCCTACCCGTTCTCTTATGTGGCGCAGAAGCTTGGTTATGTCACTGACGGATGCAGCAGCGCTTGGAGTGTTCGAGAGAAAAATTCTTCGCAATATCTATGGTCCCGTTCGGATTGGGGACGACTTTCAGCTCGTGGTTCAGCTGTACGAGTTGTACGACGGCGTGGACGTGGTCCGGCGCATCACGATACAACGTCTGCGCTGGCTCGGCCACTTTCTGCGTATGGATGAAGAATCTCCAGCTCAGAAGGTATTTCAAGCGAATTTTTTTCTACGTCCGCCCCTGCTTCTAATATAAAATATAAATAACAATATTTCATAAATTCTCTTGACAAAATTTTAATTTAAAACCTGGAATTTCTATAATTATCATTAATTTACTATGATTTTGTATAAATTTAAAATGAGGTTAGGTATTTTTACTATTTACAAAAAATCACGAGGAATTTTAATTTAATATTCAACATCTGAGCTTTTACTATATTATTTTTAAGAAACAATACCAATAGAAATCGCGTCGAATAGTGTAAATATTGAAGAAATAAATTTAAACAGAAAAGGAAACAAGCTTCGGCAAGCTCAAGCTTATATACGCGTGCAGTCATGAAATAAATACAAATAAATACGATTCAGATGATACGACGTGATGCTGACCAAGAGTATATAAACTTTATGGGGACCTCAGACCCTCTGCTTCACTGCTTTGCAAACTTCTGACTGAAATTATAATACCCTTGGCTCTGCAAGGGTATAATAACTTTATGCAAATTGCTGCATATCTACTAGATATTAGATATTATCTACACGCGAGTTTTAGCAAATTCCAGTTTAGTTCGAAGTAAATTTGTACATACTTTAGAACAGTATTTCCCAAAGTGTGGGTCGCGACCCACTGGTGGGTCGCGGGTAGATTTTTTGTGGGTACTAGTTTTCATATAGATCTTGCAATTTTTTGTGTAGGTGGGTCGCGGTCCCGACAAGTTTGGGAAACACTGCTTTAGAAACTATTCTGGTAAGTTAAGAGTTTGTGACTTCAGTGACTCATATGGACACTATATTCTCTCTCTACAATTGCAATATGCAATTTCACCAAATTTTTGTTTAGCTGCACTTTTATTAAATTTTTCCGCCTTGAACTTTTGCCAAACAGTACTTTCGCTTTCCAAAAGGCCAACTGTCAAACCTTTTCCAAATCTTTAAGCCAACGTCATAAACGTCAACATCATTAAAATATCATGAAGTTACCATCCACCCTCAAATGCACTTTAGCCTCGAACTGTCAATTCACCCGACCATTCAGCAATTCAGCAGCAAGCCACCCATTCCCCCACTAGTCATTGCAGTAGCCGTAGAAAATGTGCAAAAATTTCGCGCACTTCCGTTACATTTCGCATCCTTTTTGACTGTTTATTTTTCGGCGGCGCTTCCTCTAGACAAACCGCAACGGAAGCACCGCCGTGCACTTTTTCATGCCATTTTCTCCTCCCGGCTCGAGGCATTTTCCCTTTTTCATTTCGTTCTTGCCAAGGCCCAAAGTATAAAGCGCATAACAAAGCAAATGGCACAAACTGTACGTTATAAAAAAAATTGTTCATAAAAATTTGATTTGACAAAAATGGGCTAGTCCTTATTGTCAGACGACATTTGAAATGAGTATTAAAACTTTTGCCAAAAAACTTCAATCCGTCACATGATTAATCTACGCAATGGCCGCCAGGCGAAACAAGACCCTATTGGGTGTGCTCCCATGAAGAAAATAAATCTTTATAAATCCATAAAACCATACAACAATTCCTTGTTAGGGCTCAAATCGGAGCCATTAAAATGTATTTGTGGCGTTTTGTTTCGAGGGCTAATTAAGTGCGGCATTAACGGAAGCTGGCCTTGGTGTGGGAATCGTGTGGGCGCCCCGCTGGCTTTCAAATTAATGAGCCGCAACAAGCGAGCATACAAACGTTCTGGCCATAGGCGTTGGCTATCAATGTTGCATTAAAGTTCAATTGACCAGAGCGGGCGGAGGTCGTTAATTTAGTCCCTAATCGCCGTCCCGACCGAGTGGGATGGGCCTGTTGGCTTCGCGCCCAAGTGGTCTCCGCCCTGCTCTGAGCCCTCCTCAGAATCGTCCGAGTCGTAGTCGTCCTCCTCAAACTGGCCGTCCTTGAAGTGCGATACCATAACGACCAGGCCCACAAGTAGGAGCAGGGACACGACGATGTTGTCCCGCGCCACGTCCATCTCGACAGTCCACAGGTACTCGGTGAGCTTCGCGGTGCATCCGGGGCATCCCGGCCTCTCGCAGCAGGAGCCACTGGCCCACGAGCGGTTGCTAGAGGCGGTTTGGTAGTCCGCCACGCCGGTCTTGCCGCAGCACGCGAACTCCAGCTCGACCTTGCCCAGACTCTCCCTCAGCCACATCTGGAGAACCATCATCTGGACAAAGAACTCAAACCTGCGGCGGTACAGGAAGCGCGTGACCGCGATGCTGGCCGTGTACAGAAGCACCACGCAGCCGATTAGCATGTATCCGGCGAACTTGATGATACTCGGCCGCCGGGCCATGCGCACCCCGAGGATCGCATTTATTACGTAGGCCACCAAGGTCAGTCCGCGCACCCAGAAAAGCCAGGCACGCAGGGCCACTGGGTAGAGACGTAGGCCAGGGAACATGGCCGTCTTCAGGTAGAGGTGGCTGAACACGTCCAGCAGGAAGATCAGCCCCACCACGACCAGCACCACGTTTATCTGCAGCACGCAGTCGTGCGACACGCGACACCAGCGGCACGGATTAGTCATCTCTCCGGCGAAGGTTCCGGTGGATGAAAGCGGCAAACGGAACGGCGGAAAACTCGAGTCGCTATTTGTTTGCTTTGAAGTGGAGCGAGCTCGGGCAGCTGTTGCTCTGAAGTTTCCCTCCCGGACCTGCTGTCGATTTCAGCCAGCAACAGTGTGACCCCACTCGGGTGGGAAAACAAACATTTGGCTAGCTGGAGACCTCGCCCTCCCCTCCCACCGGGTGCCTGTCGGACTTGTTACCCTGGCTTCAAGTGCAAATGAGTTTGATTCTTTCGAAAATGAAATTCCTTACCTGTTGCGAGTAAAGTTTCAAGTCGGGGACGGGGACAAGACCGCAATGAAAACAAACCGAAGAGATCAAATATTTGTGAGGCGTCTCCTGATTGCTCACATGAATTGCAGAGCACGGGGTACAGAGTCCCGTTACGCATTTTTGCATTCTGTCTGGACTGGAGCTGGGCTTTTGGAAAAAGAATTCCATACACAAGTCTTTGGTATGGAGTACATTACCTTGTGGCCCTACCTTTAAAATTAACGGCAGTGACTGGCACTGTTAACGCACCGACGGACAAAGACTAGACTTCCCAACGGGCCTTTTTTATACCCTGGCGTTATCTGACTACGAATGAATTTCGAATCAAATTTTACCAAAATCGGATAACTATATCATATAGCTGCCATAGAAAATATCGAAAAATCTATATAGAAATAACGGAAATAAAATTATAACATCGATGTTTTTCATCAGACAAGCATAATTTTTGGAATATAGAGTTTTTTAACGACTCATGAATTACGAATTAAATTTCATCAAAATAGTCGAAAATATTGAAAAATAATAGGAAATCCGTCATAGCTTCGATGTTGTATCGCCTTTATGTATTTTGTTCGACATATTTGATGACTGCAAGCTTAGTCTTGCCGAAGCTAGCTTCCTTTCTTGTTTGGTTTTTATTTCAGGAAAATTTTTCTCTCTTTTTCGCGCTTGACGTACGGCCAAATTTTCTTTATAATCACCGTCGGCACTGGCTAATGTGGCTAATTTAGAGCAGACACTGATTGCTTTTGTTTGCAAGTTTAACCCTTCGTTTTCAGCTGCTGTCCATTGACTTAAAGCCTTAATTAAAAAGTTCTCCAGTCAATTCCCTTAAACATTTCTCGGTAGGCCAAGACTTTCACAGTTTGTTAATTAAATACCCCGGCTGCAGCTGAGGCAATTATTGCAGCTGAGTGACTTAAATATTTCGATTGGCCTTGGATCGCAGTCGCTGTACAATTACGGCTAAGATGGAAAGAAGACCAACGACTAGTTTATTGTGACTTGTATTCTGATATATATTAAGTTAGAAATTAACAACACCGTGAAGGAGACAATTAAGAGATCTTAATTACGCAGCCTGGCCTCTTAGTTTAAAGGCGGAAACTTGTTAATGAAAAACTCTTTCATACACGTGCAATAAGATTTAAAAAAAAGTACCAATACCGCAGATAAATAATTTTGAGAGGCATGGCAAAATTTTAAAAATTTCGCACGACTCAAACTCCCCAGAGCCTTGTGGTCGTAAAAGGTAACGTGGCAAGTATTTTGCATTTTTTGGGCTAATGGTAGAGTGAAAATGTTCTTATCCCAAGACCTTGATTTTTTTCGAGTTTTTTAAATCCCCTTAAATATAATACACACTTAATGAGAGTCGGAAAGATCGAGAAATCTAAATAGAATTACGAAAATTAACAGAAAAAATGATAACATCGTTGTATTTCATTAGAAAAGCTTAATTTTATTAAAAATAGGGCTTTCTAATGACTCTTATATTTCAAATTAAATTATATCTTATAGCTGTCATATTAGCCTTGTTTAGCCTTTTTGTTCGACGTATTTGATGCCTGCAAGGGTATATAAGCTTCGGCTTACCGAAGCTAGCTTCCTTTCTTGTTTTCCAATTTGTATACCCTTGCAGAGCAAAGGGTATTATAATTTTAGTCACAAGTTTGCAGCGCAGTGAAGGAGACACCTCAGACCCCATAAAGTATATATGTTATGGGACATTCTTTTACAAATCGTACACCTTTTTTTGCGTCACAATTCCGATTTTTGTCTAAATTTTTTTCCAGGTGTAGGAAGCAAAATAAAAAGACACGTGTATCGGTATTTTGTTAAACAAATTTTTTTTACAAAGTTATGATTTTTGACAATATCAATGGTTTTCTCTATCCTTGAACACGTTAAATCAATTATCTCTTGTTCTATTAATCGTATCGTTACAATTTTTTTTTTATTATTTAGTTCAAGAATTAAGCTTTCAAAAAGTTATTTTATTTTTTAATTTAATTTTTTATTTATTTATTAGTAACAAATTAATCATTATATCGACATTTCAATGCCGATCCCCACAACTTATTTAATTGAAAAAAATCAATTTATTATCCCTATGTTTCGCTTAATAACCAGTAAAAGGAATTAGAGTGGGGTCTTCATCAGATCAAGAGAAATTAAATAATTTTCGACTCTTCGCGCAGTGCGCGCTCCACATGCTGCTGCAGCGCGATCAATGTTATTTTATATCTTATTACCTAATAGAGACCCCACTCTAAATCCAAGTGTTTTTTCTTAGGAATGACGTATAGAATTAAATTGTAATTTTCCTAATTATATATGTTGTGGGGATCAGCTTTGAAACCATTAAATTGTTTATAATTTTTTTTTCTGAACAAATAAAAAAATTGTAAGTAAAAAACTTGAAAGGCAACATTAATACCTATTGAATAAAAAAAATTTTTTTATTTTGTGACTACTGGAAGCGGAGATAATATATTTAATATATAGAAAAATAAATAAAAAACTATTTTTTTTGAGTAAAATCCTTTTACACGTGTCGAATAAAATCTTCCATAGAAGCTGAAAAAAAATTTTCATTCAATTCTGAGATATAAAAAAAATTTTTTCTCGAATCCGTACGGTTTGTAAAAAGAATGTCCCATATACACATATTTCTCGATCTTTCCTATGGCCGCTCATAAAGCTTATCCGAAAGTTATCCGATTTTGATAAAATATAATCCGAAATTCAATAGTAGTCAGAAAACGCCATCTGAAAGAAATTAAGTCAATCTGATCAAAAACAACAGCGTGAGAATGTTTTTTTCATTTTCTCATATGAGAGCTTCCGACTTATATTGCGTGCAATAACTACACAACTTTTGGTAAAATATTAGCGAGATAGCTTTTAGCGGTTATATCAAGTTGCAATTTTGTAAAAATCTAACAATTTTTTTCGCCAATTTTGAATGTACATATATTTATTTAAGAATGTCGTCTGAAAATTTCAAAGTAATCCGGTTAATAGTTTCGGAGTAATGAGCATATTTATAAAGCCGTTTCCGACGTAGTTATAGTAGCCAAAACTAAGTTCTCAATGTCGGTGAGGAAAATTTCTCCGAGACGGCTTGACCGGTTGAATTCAAATTTTCACAGGCTCTTCTTAGATGTTTTTGCCAGGCTCTGATAAAAATTTCGATTTTTTAAGTTACTTTGCAGTTTGACTTTTCGTGCTAAAAAATAAGGTTTTCGGTTGGGAAGCCGCACTTTTGTCTAAAATCAAACTTTTTGAAATTTGTTGTGTCATTATCTTTCCATTTAAGTAATCCTTTCGATTTTCTGTATTTCTGATCAATTTGGATTAGAGAGGAAGATCCTCACAGCCAGACACCTTTTTGAAATGGACCTAAAGAAGATCCTCTACAGGATCGACGGATATATATTTTTTCAAATTCTTAAACTACGTTAAATTTTCTAACTTTTCATATGTTACATGTACATATATATTCATTAAAAAGCCACTCCAGAAAAAAAGGAAAAAAAACACGTTTTGTCGCCCTTACAACAGGATATAACCCCTTAAAACTGAGAGACTAGTTTGCATAGAAACGGACAGGGGGACAGACGGACAGACATACAGACGATACAGATCGTGATGCTGATCAAGAATGTATATACTTTATTTGGAATATATGTATATACTTTATTTGTTCAGAGGTGTCTCCTTCACTGCGTTGCAAACTTGTGACTTTGTAATACCCTCCGCCGGCGTTTTATAACGGGAAAAACATTATAGTGCCATTAATTTTTATCATACGGTTATACAGGATGACTTTATCATATACATAGCTCCATAGGAAGGGTCTAAGCATTTATATATAATTAAAAAATTATAAGGATGTTGATTTTAATCTTACAAACATGAGTGTTGGAATATCGAGTTTTTAACGACGATTGAAATAAGAACAATTTTTTTTTAAACTATCTATATAAACATAGCTGCCACAGAAAGGATTTAGACTTTTTAAAAGAGATAAGACATTTGTTTTGGTTTTTATATAATACTTTATTAAATAACGATTTTGACCGCTTAAGGGGCTGGAAGTCTGATTATCACAAGACATCTATAATTCTCCGAGCTTGGTGTGTAGCGTAAGATGAGCATTCGCGAATGGCCTCGAGGATTCAAGTGTGGCCTTGGGATCAAGTGAGCATGATAGGAAACTCTCAGTCCATCCAATCCGGCTGAGCATTTGCATAGAAACCGCGGCCTGGCTGCTCACGACCAGCTGGGAAATGTAGCGAGCAAGGTTCGACTGCAAGTTAGACTGGGACTAGACCACATAAAGTTAAATTAATGCCTTATCTGGGCGGTGGTAAAGCCACACACGCACACGAATACTGCCCGGATCCAGTTTGTCGTTTTCAATTATACTTCAACTTTAAGCGTTTTGCGTTTTTGATTCTGTGGGCCCCCTTCGAAACCATCAACTTTACCCGAGTGGTTCATAATTTTATTAGGAAACGTTCCAACGTCTGCCTTGCCTTGGGCCGCTGGTGAGATTTTTGCCACGTGCAGTAAATATTTTGCTGGCTGCGTGTTGTGGGGGTATTTAGCATCAGCTTAGGGACCCAGGCAGATCCAGACAGGCGAGCCTGCCTGCCAGGACCCCATCCGCTGTATGTGGAACCACGAGTATCTGTCTGGCGGGCTGTTTGTCTGTGGGCCCAGTTTTCACATCATTTGAGACGTGGCAGGCATTTAAATGGACTGCGTCTCTGCACGTCTAAAGTG